GTGTGTGCTGGGTGAGTGGGGTCCTTCATGATGCAGGTGGTCCTGATCAACTTGTAACTTGAGACAACTTGTGTTGTGATTTGGTGCTATGTAAATAAACTGAATTGAATTAAATTAAGTTAGGAGTACCAGCCTTTTTGTCAAGGCTATTATTTTTTTTATTATTCTATTAAACCAAAATTCAAAAGCAACGATTGATTTTAATTTGGTAAATTTTTTTGTCTTATTTTTATTACTTTTGTCAGTTTCAAGGTATTTCAGTGACCCTTGTGTATATTTACTTCTTAAAAAAAAAAAAAAAAATCCAACTAAATTTTTTTTCTGCATATGTTGATAAGACCGTGAGCAGTTGCAGAGTTCAGTCACTTCTATTTGAAGCTAAACCCCCACGTGTGCCTACGAAAGGTTTGTTTCAGCTTATTCTTCATCTTTGAAAAATCTTGTTCTCATAATCCCAACAGCTGCATCTTGGTCTGTAAATGAGAGCTGAACCTATCGATAAAACCCATCAAAACCATTGAAAAAACCCACCTTTGATAACGCTGTGTCAAGAATTTTATCCCCCGTTGTTGACATGGCAACTGGAAGACAAGAACAATGATGGTTGAGCAGTGGAGTCACATCTATTCCTCAGCACAGGGCTGATTCACCTCACTTTAATGAAGAGGGGGAGCTCGAGCTAGTTTTTTCTAATCATTTACATCAGAATGTTGTTGCACTGTTGTTTTCACCTGGTTTAATGACAACATGTAGCTCATTCTTTGAAGTTACAAGAAAAAAAACCTCAATCTCAGTGGCCCAAGAAAAAGATAAATAAATCTATACAAGGCTTGCACTCTGCAGGACTTCACTTTCATCTGATGTTGAGCACCAGATGAGCAGGTCTTTGGGTTTGACACATTCACTGTTCCAATGTTAAAACAAATGATTTATAAGATTTCAAAATCCTTGTCTGTCTCATTCCTAACAAAGATGATAACATGAAGACAGATGCACTGAAGCATTGATGGACACTGTTGTCCGTCCATCCATCCATCCATCCATCCGTCCGTCCATCCATCAGTCCAACCATTAATTCATCCGTCCATCCATCTGTCCATCCATTCATCCGTCCATCCATTATCGTCCTCTTCTTCCAAAGTCAGGTCTTGGGGGCAGCAGCTTGAGCAGAGAGGGCCAGACATCTCTTTCCACAGCCACCTCTTCCAGCTTTTCCCAGTAGGACCCCAAGGTGTTCCCAGGTCAACCGAGAGACAAGTCTCTCCAGCGTGTCCTGGGTCTTCTGGGGTCTCCTCCCAGTCGGACATGAATGAAGCACCTCCCTAGGGAGGCGCCCAGGGGACATTCTTACCAGATGCCTGAACCACCTCAACTGTCTCCTCTCAATGTGGATGAGCAGTGGTTCTACTCTGAGTCTCTCCTGACAACTGAACTTCTCACTGTGTCTCTAAGGGAGAGTCCAGCTACCCTGCAGAGGACACTCATTTCAACCGCCTGTGTCCACGATCTCATTCTTTCAGTCACTACCCAGAGCTCATGACCAGAGGTGAGGGGAGGAACGTAGACTGACTGGTAAACAGAGGTTTGCTTTACAGATCAGCTCCCTCTTCACCACAACGGACCGGCACAGAGTCCACAATACTGCAGACGCTGCACCAATCCATCTGTCAATCTCACGTTCCATTCTTCCCTCACTCATAAACAAAACCCAAAGACACTTGAACTCCTGCACTTGAGGCAGAACCTCACCCTCGACCCAACTGTTGTGACAAGATGATTTAAATTATTTGTTCACCTAACAAAAATCAAAAACACATCTCAGCATCTCACCTATTTCCAGGTGGACATCAGGGTAGAGTTCCTTTAACTTGTCAGCCACGCTGTCTGTCTGGATGCGAGCCAACTGCAACACAATCAGATTGTTTTAATCTTTGCTTTCGAGAAGAGTTTTGGTTTTCAACAAGAACTTTAAACATAGAAGAACAATGGTTTTATACCTAAAAAAAAGTTAAATCTGGTCCTCTGGACATTAAAAAAAAACAACAACAAAAAATGTCCAGAGGACCAGATTCAACTTTTTTAGATTTTTCTACCTGGATTATTGAGCATGCATCAGGATAATGGTTTTATACGCACATCGTACAGACGTTCACACAGAATCAGTGTACACGTGACGCCTTCTCTCAGAAAACACACACCAAGTATTATTAAGTTAGCACGGCCTACTGGCCACAGTGGTCTAACGGGTTTATGAGTCTTTATATGATGTGGTGCAAGGTTGCTTTTGACACAATTTAAATGACTTTGAAGCTGATTCTTCTTTCAGTGTACGGTGGGAACGTCCTGGTACCTGTGAGAATACGAGCCGCAGCATTTTGAATCAGATGGAGTTTATGGGAGGCGTGTGAAAAAACCATTACAGCCTGGTTTTAAAGGCAGGAATTATTTTTCAATCTCAGATTTTGATACAAACTTATTAACTTTAGAAATCAAAAAAGTTAAATCAGGTCATGTGGACAGTTTCTTTTTGGAAGAAACGTTTCGTCTTTCATCTGAAAGACTTCATCAGTCTGAGGCCTGCCACCAAGATCTGTCTTATAAATAGCACCTCCTGGACGGGTTTCAAACCAGTCTGCTGTGGAGTTCACAGAAACTGGCTTTACACATGTAAGAAGGGACCATCAGTCTAAACAATCAATCTTCAGTGCATAACGATCATGTTATAGACAAAATGTCCGTTTACCGAACTACTCACTGAACTAGACTGAAGACAAACTGGACAAAATGTTTCAAGTAAAAAAAGAAGGATTTTTTAACCAGTTAGGCCAGTTTGTCTTCAGGCTAGTTCAGCGAGTAGTTCGATAAACGGCCATTTTGCTTATAACATGTGTGAAGATTGATTGTTTAGACCAGGGGTGTCCAACTCACTTATAAAAGGGGGTCACAATTAAAACCTGTTTCAAACTAAGGGCCAGATTCATAAACTACATGAACTCAAATCAGATACTCAGCATCTTTTCTTGGTCACAGGTTCCTCAACAAGAGTTTGATTGGTCTCATTTGATGTTCTCTGGTGTGCTTTCGACATCATAATCAAAGATTACTGGAAACATTTGAGAGTAAAATAAAATGAATTCAAAATATTAATAAATACTAATATTAAGAATATTAATAAAATTCAAATTATTTGACATTTCACATGTCATCTTGGGGGCCAGATGTCAACGAGGGCCACATTTGGCCTCGAGTTTGACACATGTGGTTTAGACTGATGGTCCCATTTTGCATGTGTAAAGCCAGTTTCAGTTAGTTCCACAGCAGACTGGTTTGAAACCCGTCAACGAGGTGCTATTTATAAGACAGATCTTGGTGGCAGGCCTCAGACTGATGAAGTCTTTCAGATAAAAGATGAAACATTTCTCCCAGAAAGAAATTGTCCAGACGACCTTAACCTTTTTGTGATTTATCTAGCTGGATGACTGAACTTACAAACTTTTTTTTACTTTAGAAAAGTTTCTCAAATGACAAAAAGCCAACTTGGTATGAATGATGTAACTTTTAAACTGTAAAAATCATTTTCTAATAAAGTATTAGAGGTTTTGTGCATTATTTTTGAGGGGAAAAAAAACATATAGAAGGATCCAGCATTTTTCAGTCAGGTCATCTGGACAGTTTTTTTGGGGGGGGGCTAAAACGTTTCACCTTCCATCCAGAAGACTTCATCAGTCAAGGAAACACACAACACAACTGATTCTTCCCCCAACAGCTTACTCCAAAGTGGAACAAACCGGTTATGTTGGTGCTAAGATGGTGTCTTTGGCACGCCCCCTCCTCCGGTGCCGGCCCTCTCCCTCGTCGACAGTCATGTCAAACTGGTTCAAAACCAACAAAGTCCATGCTCAATAATCCAACAACTTTCAGTCAGGTCAACTGTTCAGATCAGTTTGTGTAGTATGGTGACATTAAAAACCAGACTGGTAAACATCGAACACTGTCAGACTGAACAGACCCGTTCACCTGAGAGTAGACGGCTTTTTCTAGCACTTTGCAGAGAAAGTTAGAAATAGGTTTAAAATGACAGATCCCAGCTGGATCCAGCCTGCAGGAGAACCCTCAACATTAGCTGGATTGTGCAGTTCACGGAGCACGACACAAACGAATGAGTATGACGCGTGAAGAAGGAGCCCTTGTGGTGACAAAGACATTCTTCAGGAGGACGGGTGTTATCTCTGCCAGGAGGAGCCTCAGCTGTATCTGTGGCTGCATGGAGGAGTGGCCCATCAGATAATGTACAATTAACTGACACTTCTCCAGAACGCCTGCAGTCGTGGTACGATGGCAGCTTTTACTACATTATCCTCCTCCTTCGGGCACAATGGCTGCTCTGCATGGATTATTTATTTCTGTTCAGCTTCTGTCTCTAATCAAAGACACTTGTGTGAAAGTTTTGATATTGAAAAAACTGTTTTAGTTTTAGATTTTGAATCCTCTGATTCACCAATTGTTCAAAATAATGTTTCATTTTTTTATGTCTTTGAGGTCCCACTAATCTCAAACAAGTAGAGGAAATTCAAAATGCAGTCCAGTGAAAAGCAGGAGACTCAGCAGGTTACAGCCAAACTAAAGAAGCGCAGAGCTGCAGGATCTGAGCAAAGAAACACTAAAGTTCTGTACCTGGCTCTTGCGGGTTCCAATCCGGATCACTCGGCTAACTTTGCCGTTTCCTTCCTGCTGAGACAAAAACACATCAACCACATGAGGTTAGATACACACTGTGCCAGATATTTCTGTATTTTACTACATCATTCAGACGTCCCAACACAATCTCAGCCGCTGCGATGGTCTGAATGAGCCGAAGCGTGTTCCCTGCTGGCCTCACCCTGATGTACTTGTAAGGTCCTTCCTCCATCTTTCAGTTTCCACACACTGTGCGAGCGTCTGCACTGTGGAGCCGATTGTTTGTGTGTGTGTGTCTGGGACTGCCTGCTGCGTCCTTGTGAAAAGCCGGAGCTGACTGAGGTCATAAAGCCCACTGAACGGGGGTCTTACTCACTGATCCTCCCTTTAAAACACCCACACCTACAGATCTCTGTTCCCAGAAGATAAGTGATGCGATTCATAGAGGCCGTTATAAAAGGCAGGGATGGGCTGCCGTGCAGGGCCTGGTAATAAGGTGTGGTCATGATGTGGGACTCCTTTGTTTTATGAATGGAAGCCTTCTACGATTCATCACTATTAGAACTAGAGAAACTGCATTTCCTGAGAAAATGCAGAGTGAATGCTTATTGCAGAAGATCTTGCTGGAATGTAGCTGAAATTAATAACAAGCCTAAATTAGCAGAAGACAGCAGAAAGAACACATATTTGCTGAATTAGGTTTAAATTAGCAGAAATTAGCACAGAAATTAGCAAATAAACAAGGCTGAAATTGGAAAAAAAAAATGACTGAAAGGTTGTTGAAAGGCAGAAAGAAGCTTAAACTACCAGAAGGAAGTGGAAAGAGCTGAAATGAGCTAAAAAGATGTGGAAGAAGCTTAAAAAGCTACAAGTAGCATAAAACAGCTAAATAGTAACTGAAATAGCAAAAAATAGCTGAAACTTGCAGAAATAAGCTGAAAGGTGCATAAGATGCTGAAATTAGCAGAAAGAAGTTAGAAGAAGCACAAAAACATTGTAGTGAGCAGAAAGAATGTGAAAAGAGCACAAAACAGCTGAAAATATAGCAACTTAAAAACTTAATTTACATTTTAATATTTACTGTTTTAATAGTTAAAGTTAGATCAATATTTTTGGTCCTTGAAGACGTGGTTTATTTCAGTATTTGCACCAAAGATGAAGGCTGAAAATGTAGACCCTCCATTTACAACTGGGTCCTGGACTTCTTAACAAACAGACCACAGTCTGTGAGGATCCACAACTTCTCCTCCTCCACCATAACCCTCAGCACTGGCTCCCCTCAGGGCTGTGTGTTGAGCCCTCTCCTGTTCACTCTGCTCATGTATGACTGTGCACGTACTCATCCAGGCTGTCACATTGTTAAGTTTGCAGACGATACAGCGGTGGTGGGATGCATCACAAACAATGATGAGTCCAGCTACAGACAGGAGGTGGAACACCTGGAGAGCTGGTGCAGGAAGAACAACCTTTGCATCAAAGTGAAGAAGATGAAGGAGATGGTCGTGGATTACAGAAGGAACAAACACACCAACTCCCCTCCACCCCCGAACATAAGAGGATCTGTGGTGGAAGTGTGGAAGTGTCTCCAGCTACAAGTACTTGGGTGTGCACCTGAACAACAACCTCAGCTGGAGCAAAAACACCACCACCCTGATGAAGAAAGTTAATCAGAGACTCTACTTCCTCAGACGGCTGAGGCGAGCTGGTCTGGGAAGCTCAGTCCTCACCTCCTTCTACAGGTGTGCAGTGGAGAGCATCCTGTGCTCCAGCATCAACGTGTGGCATGGAGGCTGCACAGCTGCAGAAAAAAAAGCTTTGCAGAGAGTGGTGAAGGCTGCACAGAAGATGATGGAATCAGTCTCCCCACCATCACAGACATCTACACCTCCAGATGCAGGAAGAGGGCCACCTGCATCATGAAGGACCCCACTCACCCAGCACACACACTTTTTGCCCCACTCCCCTCAGGCAGGAGGATGAGGAGCATTAAGTGTAGAACCACTAGACTGAGGAACAGCTTCTACCCTGAGGCTGTTAGACTCATGAATCTCTAACCAGGAAAAAAAAATCACTGTAATGCCACTTTAACTGGTGATATGTGACTTATCTGTTCAGCTGATTATCCATGCTGCTGATCTCCTGCTGCTGATCTCATGCTGCTGTATTCATTCATACCCATCTGCTTACCATGGACTCGTGTTCAGGCTGCTGTTGTTACGCTGTAGTTTTGCATTATTAGTGTTTAGTGTATATCTTAGATCTTTATATACTGTTTCTTTTTACACTTTATATTTTTGCGATTGTTAGATGTAACTGGGACCCTGAGTACATAATTTTGTTCCACCTCATGTACCACGTGATGAGAACAACAATAAAATTGACTTGAACTTGAAAATGTTTGACATACACATGAAAAAAGAAAAATAAATGGAAGATTTTCTTTGTTAGTCTGGCAGAATCTTTTCAATATTTCTAATGTTGATGCAAAATGTTAAAACATCTTTTGCTTTGCTATGAAGACAATATTTGATTATTAGTAATATTAGAAGACCACAGTAGAACACAAGAAAAAGACTTGCAGCTTGTGAAACACAGCAGGTAGATTCCTGATATGTTTGTTCATACAACGCTCACGTAAAGCTACCCAGTAATCAAATTAAATTAAATCAAATTTACTTAAACAGCACATTTGAAACAATTCTTCCTCAAAGACCTGATCATCTTTGTGAACCAGCCTGGACCTCAGGACAAATAAAGACCTGGTCTAATGGTCATTTATTTATGTGTTACCAGTACGTAACATTTTTAAACACATTATTTGTTTAACTCCTTTGTCAAACTATAGGCAACAAAACATGTTGTATTTTGCGCAAGGCGTATTTCTTATTTTTGAATCAACACTGAAGCATAACTTAAATAAGACTCTCTTCAAAACTCAATTTTGACACAGCTTTTCCGGTTCTCCTGTCCAATCAAAAGCTCTATCTTCAAACACCATCCAATCAGCCTAAGCCAGCTGATGACGCATAAGGAAGTAACGCTGAACCTAATGCGCGCTGAATGAGCTATGTGTTGGAAACTACGGGGATATTTTGATTAAATCTTACCGGACTGCTTGCTTCCTCTGACATGTTTGTGACCGCCTCCTGTTTGTTTGTGTTGAACGAGTCAGCAATAAGTGATGTTTCTCATACAGCCCGTCAGAAAGCACCAGGTTTACTCAGAGCAGCGTTCTCAAGACAGCTCCCTGTCTGAAGGAACGTCCGGTTAGAGGTCATTTCCGGCTTCCGTCCGCTCTGGCTTTTCCTTTTTTTTCCTTTAACCTTTATTACACAAACATTTCAAGTAGGTATCTATCGGACGGTGATTTACAGAAGAAGTATAGTACTGTACTGATACATGGAACACCAAAATGCTC